AACAAAAGCCCCGGGATCCCACCAGCGCGGTAGCCCAGACCGGGAAGCAGCTCCACACTCGAATGGAGCTCCGCAGCCCCTCAAGAAGAAGCAAAGATGGTGCATGGAGCCAGGCACTCGAGCGAAAGGAGAGGGAGGTGGCGAGAGGCAAGTAAGAAATCAAAAGAAGCAGGAAAAAAAAGGCAACACTAGCAGCCAACAAATGTCAGTCAGAGAGCCAGCTAGTGCGGGCTGGTGTTTCTGTACAAGAGACTGTGTCCGCGGGAGGTGGAGGGGTCCGAGTGTGGGTGAAGAAGGGTAGAGAGTGGGAAAGCGTATATCACACATTACTGGTGCTCTGCAGCCCCTCAAGGAGAAACAAAGATGGCGCATGGAGCGAGGCACTCAAGCGAAAGGAGGCGGAGATGGCGAGAGGCAAGAAAGAAATAAAAAGAAGCAGAAAAAAGCAACACCAGCAGCCAACAAATGGCACCCAGAGAGCTGCCCGCTCGGGCGTGTGGAATCCAAGTAGCTGGCGCTTCCCGGTCAAGAGACCATGTCCGCGGGAAGCAGAGGAGGCTGAGCCGGAGCAAAGAGGAGTGGGGGGTGGGCAAGCGCACACCGCCAATTACCGGTTGTTTTGTCTCCCGCTGGACGTTCCGGGAGGCTGCTTTCTCGTACCCCCTGTTTGCTGGTCTCCGATAGGAGTCCAAGTTGGTGGATCCGCGCTGCGTTAGCTGGTAGGGGACCTCTGCATGAATCTCTCCTCGCTCTCCGTTCTCTGTCAGTTTTCTCGCTCCATTTGGTGCTTGGCTGAGTTCTTTATCTCTTCATTTGATGTTTTAGGGTTTCAGGATTGTTGTATTCTCTGTTTGGCTTAATTTTCCGGATCTTTGCTGTGGAGAGACGGTGTGGTGCTTCTGCCTTGAGCGCCATTTTGCCGGAACTCCTTTTTTTTTTTTTTTTTTAGGTAAATAAACTATAATATAAACCACTGAAGCACTCTGTGTACCCTTCTCGGTTCCATTTCTCTCTTTTTCCATTTCTCTCTTTCCTTCAAAGGACAGTTTTTTAAAGCATTTTTATTTGCTAATAAGGTTTTAGTTCATTGTTGATTTTATATTGTTGAAAGGTGACATCCATTCTTATAGAGATGTGGCACTTGGGAAATGTGGCAATCTGTATGAGCCTTAGCTGTATAATCTCTAAACTATATATCATAATGGAAACCCTGGTGGCGTAGTGGTTAAGTGCTATGGCTGCTAACCAAGAGGTCGGCAGTTCGAATCCACCAGGCGCTCTTTGGAAACTCTATGGGGCAGTTCTACTCCGTCCTATAGGGTTGCTGTGAGTCGGAATCGACTTGATGGCAACAGGTTTTGTTTTGTTTTTTTTTAATGTATCATAATAGTGCAGTTATATTTAGGAAAACTGTTTACTCTGAAAAAGTATAAATCATAAAAGGTATTGTAAATTAATGTTTCAGTATTAACTGAAGTTTGTGATGTTAAATGCCAGATCTGTTTATTTTTACCATTATAAATTTATTAATATGTTGTATAATTTCCTTTAGAAAAGAGGGATATATAGAGTTATTATTTCATATTTTATTGACTCTACATTATCATTATAAGCATTAGTTGTACTGTACTGTGTAATAGTTCGTTAGGGATTATTGTGAGCTGTGAAGAATTGTTCGTCCCTTTCCTGGATGGCCTGGGATTCCTATGTTTTTTGCATTTTTATTTCTGAGAAGCAATGTACCATAGTAGTATAGAGCATGGATTCTGGAGCCAGACTGACTGGCTTTGAATTGTGGTTCCAAAACTTATTGTGTGACCTGAGAGTTATTTAATCTCTTTGTGCCTTAGTTTTCTCATTAGTTAAATGGGTGATGATACTGGCAGCTACCTCATAAGGTACCAAAAGGAATAAATGAGTTAATATTAAATGTCCTTAGAACAGTCTCTTGTGCTTAGATTGATAGCTGCCGTCAAGTTGACTGTGACTCTGACTCATGGTGACCTTATTTACAGCAGAATGAAATGTTGCCCAGTCCTGTCATGATCAGTGGCATGCTTGAGTCCATCATTGTGGCTCTTGTGCCCGTCCATCTCACTGAGGGTCTCCCTCACCCTCGTTGGCCCTCCACTTCACTAAACGTGATGTCTTCCTGTAGCAATTGATCCCTCTTGATGGTGTGTCCAAAGGAAGGGGGTCATACAGTGTTCTGTTGTGAGCCATTGGCTAATTTTTGACAACACATTGCCAGGCTTTTCTTCCTAGTCTGCCTTAGTCTGGAAGGCCCACTGTCGTGATCCTGCTGGTATTTGAAATACCAGTTGCATAACTTCCAGCATCATAGCAACATGCAAGCCACCAGATAGCTTGTGGCCCTTGTACTTAGAATTGTATTAATGTTAGCTCTTACTATTTTTTATTATCTTTGCTTTTCAAAGTATTCCACACCTAGAGTCTTTCCTACCCAGAGTCGTTCTCAGATTGACAGTTATCTATTCTGCCCTCAGTTTATGTTTCCAGGAATCTTTCTTCTCCCTTAGAATGTAAGTTACCTGAAGGCAAGTTTTGTTCTCTGTTCTGTCCCAGTGCCTAGAACAATTCTTGGCATATAGTAGTCTTTAATAAATATTTGTTGAATCAATGAATGAATATAACAAGCTTATAATTTTTTAAACATTAAGAATAAGAAAAAAAAACCTGGATGAATAGTTTGTTTGTTTTTTGGTTGCTTTTTATTCTCTATATGTTTTACATAGCTGAAGTTAATCTTTAAGTGATAGTTAAGTAAGAGTAGGGGAGGGGATAGTCGTGGTTCCGTGGTAGAATTATCTCCTTCCATGTGGAGGACCTGGATTTGATTCTCATCCAGCGTACTTCTTGAGCAGCCACCACCTGTCTCTCTGGGGAGGCTTGTGCATTGCTATGATGGGGAACAGGATTCAGTGGCTCTTCCTGACTAAGACGGACTAGAAAAAAGTCTTGGGGATCTACTTCTGAAAATGAGCCAAAGAAAACCCTATGGATCACAATGATCTGATCTGCAGCCAGTCATGGGGATGGTGCAGGACGAGGCAGGGTTTTGCTCCTGTTGTGTATGGGGTTGACAGGAGCTAACAAAAACAACAAAGTAAGAGTAGTATTATTATAGAAGCCCTCTCTCTATAAATTTACTAGAAAGAAAAGGAGGAATTAGTTTTCAAATGATAACATTTACATTCCAATTGCAGCATTAGTTCCGATTATAGTTGTTTGAATTTAGATGAATAGAACAGTGCTAATACCCACTGCCATCGAGTCGATTCCAACTCATAGCTACCCTATAGGGCAGGGTAGAACTGCCCCATAGGGTTTCCAAGGAGCACGTGGTGGATTCGAACTGCCGACCTTTTGGTTAGCAGCTTTAGCTCTTAACCACTACGCCACCAGGGTTTCCAACTCCAAGAGATGTGTAGTCTGATTGCAATGAAATTTTGCTTGTAATTGTTTAAATGTTCTTTGACTTTGATGAGAGCTTGACAATTTTTTTTATAGTAAGAATTTTGTTCTTGTAATGGTTATGATAGCAACTATTAGCAATTAAATGTTACAAAATAGTAGCTAAATATTAATAGTAACGTTTTTTATCTGATTCTTTTTCTTTTTTTATATAGAGAAGACATTGGTAAAAATTGAATTTCCTGCAGATTTTTACCAGTTTCACTAAAATAACAAGTAATTTTATTGTATCATTTGTTCTAGTATAAAAATATAATCATGAAAAATTGAAAAAAAAAAAAAAACCCGACTTATATTGAATTTTCCCTCCTTCTGTGTAAAGTTGATTTCCTATGTGTGGTTTGAACTTAAGCTATATTTGCTTCCAGGATTTCACTTTTATAGCTTAGAAGGCATCAGCAATAACCATTTTAGAAGATTGGGCATAAAGAATTAGTGAAATAACTGTTAATTGTTACCGTGTGAACTAATTTCTTTACTGAGGTTAGTACTGATCATTTATCCCCTAGGTCTATATTTGAACTATGGGGTCATGGAAAATCTCCAGAGGAGCTGTACAGTTCTCTTAAAAACTACCCTGTGGAGAAGATGGTACGTAATAAAATATGGCTTTATATAGGCAAATCTGCAGATACTGTAGAATTACTAAACTTAAAAAATTATCTGCTTTTATTTTAGGTTCCATATCTACATTCAGACTCCACGTACAAAGTAAAGATTCATACATTTAATAAAACATTGACACAAGAAGAAAAAGTCAGACGAATAGATGTAAGTGAATTTAACACAAGTTCTATAGGATTAATCTAGTCTAGCTGCTGTTGACATATAGTAATACCTAACATCTGTGAAGTGCTTATTTTGTACCACGTTTTATGCTAAGTACTTTTCATGTTTTATCTTATTATATGCTGACCCTAGACTTGTTAGGTATTATTAGATAAGCACCATTCCTTTTAAATTTTTGTAGAATTATTACAGTAGAGTTATTTTTATTTTTCAGGCACTTGAATTTCTGCCATTTGAAGGAAAAGTGAATTTAAAGAAGCCACAGCATATATTCTCTATTTTGGAGGATTATGGTTTGGACCCAAACTGCATCCCTGAGAGTCCACATAACATTTATTTTGGTAGATGGGTAAGCAGGTGTTCTTTCTATCCATCTCACAGTTTGTTGTTATCTTTAAAAGCTAAACTCCATTTGTTTCTCTAAAAACTAAACTTGACTCAACTATAGAGCTTTAAAGTAGCTGAAGGGTCAGAGGTACTGTATGGATTAAAATCAATGTTGAGTATGTAGCTGTGGTTTTTTTTTTGGCAAGGATTTCTATGACGTTCAAGAGGCTTGTTAAATATAAAACTCTGGGAGGAAGTGATGTACCTGGAAACATTAAGAAATATTAGAAAATCTGGACTGCTTTTTCAGTAAAGCAGAGAAAAGGCGAAGTTCTGTGATGCTAGCTTTCCAGTCTAGGTTTTCCATTCTGAAAAGAAATAGAATTACTGCAGAACAGTTCTGCTTACTGCCCGGAGGATTTAGGTGGGTAGGTGGAAGCTGTGGCTTATGTTATAGAATAATGTCATTAATGATAGGTCAGATTTATTCATCACCAACACCTGGAATAATTGCATTCAAATCCAATTCAGATTTCCTTTGAAAAGACACCGTAAATTGAAAGACATCAAGAAATAGATGGTGTTTGTTCATAACTACCTCAATCACATTTTTTTAAAGGAATAAATTTAGAGCAGTAGAAAGTGGTAAGAGGCTCTCATCATCAAACTGGTTTTATTATGAATGATTATCTTAAATCTTTTCTGAATGGTTATACTTAATGAAAAATACCTTTGATCTAGATTGCAGATGGACAGAGGGAGCTTATTGAGTCATATAGTGTCAAAAAGAGACACTTTATTGGAAATACAAGCATGGATGCTGGTTTATCATTCATCATGGCCAACCATGGAAAAGTGAAAGAAAATGATATTGTCTTTGATCCGTTTGTTGGAACAGGTATTTTTATTTAACTGTTAAACTAGTGTTAGAGATGCTACTTGTTTGTATTAGTCAAGGTCATAGTAATACTTTTGCTAAAAGATTAAATGGACAGAATAATCTCTTAATCATTCAGTGGTGGCTAAGAGACAGCCACATACATGGGTAATAGAAAGTATTTAACAATTTTACCACTTTAAAGAAGATGATGTTGTTAGAATTTTATGGATTTTTTTCCCAGGTGAAACAGTAGCATGGGGGCAGGAGAGGAGGGGAGCATCAATCTCTTTTTTTAGCAAATAAACTAGCAACACTATACATTGTAGAAATATTATACATTGTAAAGTTTTGTACCTTATTTAAACAGGAAAATTCTTACAGGTAAGAAAGACTTTAAAGTCACAAGGTCAAAAAATGTATTCATCTTTTAAAATTGATAACCATATACTTAAAACAAAAAAACCCAAACCTGTTGCTGTCGAGTCAATTCCGACTCATAGCAACCCTATAGGACAAAGTAGAACTGACCTGTAGGGTTTCCAAGGAGTGGCTGCTGAATTCGAACTGCTGACCTTTTGGTTAGCAGCCAAGCTCATAACCAGTGCGCCAGCAGGGCTCTACACCATGGTGACATCTTTGCTTTTGAACACTTTAAAGAGGTCTTTTACAGCATATTTGCCCAATTCAGTACATCATTTGATTTCTTGACTGCTGCTTCCATGGGCATTGATTGTGGATCCAAGTAAAATGAAATCCTTGGCAACTTCAGTGTTTTTCTCCATTTATCGTAATGTTGCTTATTGGTCCAGTTGTGAGGATTTTTGTTTTCTTTATATTGAGGTACAATCCATACTAAAGTCTGTAGTCTTTGATCTTCATTAGTAAGTGCCGATAAGTGCTTCAGGTCCTCTTTGCTTTCAGCAAGCAAGGTTGTACCATCTGCATAATGCAGGTTGTTAGTGAGTCTTCCTCCAATCCTGATGCCTCATTCTTCTTCATATAGTCCGGCTTCTTGGTATCTTTGCTTCCAGGTTTTTTCAGTGGACAAAGCTAGGATATATATGTATGTTTGTACACAGTATAGGAGCCCTGGTGGTGCAGTGGTTAAGAGCTTGGCTGCTAATCAGAGGGCTGGCAGTTTTAATCCACCAGCCACTCCTTGGAAACCCTATGGGACGGTTCTACTCTGTCCTGTAGGATCGCTATGAGTTGGAATCAACAAGATGGCAGTGGGTTTGGGTTTTGGTTTTTAGTGGTTCCGTAGTTAAGCGCTTGGCTGCTAACCAATAAGTGAGCTGTTCAACCCACCAGCTGCTCCATGAGAGAAAGATGTGGCAGTCTGCTTCTGTAAAGATTTTTAGCCTTGGAAACCCTATGGGGCAGTTTTGCTCTGTCCTGTAGAGTAGCTATGAGTCAGAATCGACTCGACGGCAATGGGTTTGGTTTTTGGTTTGGGTACACGATATGCATGTATATGCATGTACACATGCACATATTCCTACATACATATGTGTGAGTGTGTGTGTATTCACCTAGACATGCATGTATGTATATATATTTTAGAAGTCTTGAATTTTCATCTGTACTACAAGTTCCAGTCCATTTCCTAGGGGTTCTTTCTTGCCTACCCCTATTCATATTTATATGCACCTTCTTCCACAGTGAGAACTGGAGAGCTTAAAATAGAATTCCTAGTATTAAGTTCAATTTCCTTCCCTTGACATAGACGAAGCCAAGTTTACTCTGAAATGCTGACTTCCGCAGCAGTCAAGGTGCTGGCTGTCTTTACTGTGGTGAGGTACAAGAAGACTTGCCCCTAATTTACTTTAGGGTAGTTCCTTATAAACAGAAGCTGATTTGATTCTTCATATAGGACAATTAATGGAAAATGTGATAAAGATCTTTGCAAAGATGCTGCTAAAATACATTTTCATAATTTATATTTGTGGTTTAAGCATAACTTTAGGATTTTAGCCAGTTTCTGGTGCTTTGGTCTTGGAACTGGTAATAGTTGATAATTGTGAATAGCGTAATTCCTAAGCACAGTTTGTTCTCTTTCTTGGACATTTTGCCTATTCGATGGGTAGTACCTTCTAAAGGATTGGAGAAATAAGTAGTCCCGTGCTCTCCTCCATGGCCGTAGTTTTTCACAAAGTATTTGATGGTATTTTTCCTTCTCTTTCTTTTTTTTAGTATTTTTTAAAATTAAGTGTATGTAATCCCTTTTACATTTTAAAGGTGAAATTGAGATGTATGTAGTTTCCCAAATGCATTACCCACTGACTACTTACGACCTGTGATTTTCTCAATGTTATAGAGTGGGGTGGAAAGCTAGGAGACTGAAAGGAGAGACACAGTCTTTTTCTTCATAAATACCTTTCCTTTTTGTTTTAGACAGTCTGCTACTGTTATCTAGAAAGACACTATGAGCTGCAGAAACATACTTCCCTTTCCATTTTAGCAAATTCACTGATACTCACCTTAGTAAGATTTTTTTTTAAGTTGTGTATCTCCATTTTCCCAAAGGGGAAGATTCATGCCACTGGATCCGCTCTCAGTTGTTAGGAAGTAGTAGTGGTGCAAACAGTTAACCGCTCAACTGTTAGCCAGAAGGTTGGCAATTCAAACCCATCCAGAGGAGCCTCAGAAGACAGGCCTGGTGATATGCTTCCAAAAGGTCATAGCCTTGATAGCTCTATGGGAGCAGTTCTGCTCTGCACACGTGGAGTCTTCATGAGTCAGAAATGACTCACTGGCAACCAACAACAACAACGCAGCAACTGTTCTGACTGTGAGCATGTCGAAAGGAATGAACAGCATAAGTATATTGAATGCCTATAATGGCGCAGCCCTACCTGTGATGTAGCACAAGACTGTAAATAGTGTACAACTCATATTAACTGAGTGGGCAGGTTTACTTAATAACAAATTTTGCTTTTGTTTATAAATTGGTAAACTAATATATATTTGCTTCAAGTGGTGCTGACCTCAAAGGAGGTAATATGGAATAGAAAAAAGACTAAATAGAATGAGGTTTAAATCCTTCTACCAATTACAGTATGACTTTGGACAAAATACTTGTCTGGGCCTCAGTTCCATTATTTGTAAAATGGGAATAGGAATATATTGCGAGGATTAAATGAGGTAATATGTATAATATTTCTAAGGAATTGCCTGAAACATGATAGGCCATCAACTGTGATAGTTATCATCATTTTTTAAATTATTGTTAAGAACTTAGATGCTTTTTTGGTGAAAAATGTTAGATATAGTTAATATTGAATGCTGATGATGAACATTTTGGCCATGCACTCATTTTCTCCTCCCCTCTGTGGCTAATTTCCAAGACATATATAATTTGCAACTGTTGGCAAGTTATGGCTGCAGACAAGGAAATTGAGGCTTAAAATTATAAACTTCTAATTCTTTGTTTATATCTAAAATAATTGGTTCAAGTGTCTGCTGAATGCTGTAGGTATCTGTGGTGTGGTTTTATGATAGAGCTCTGCAACCACAGCTCTGATTTCTTCCATTCCCTTCTCTCAAGTGAGCCAGCTCCTCCTGTAATTCAGGATTCACCCAAGAAACTAATGTATACTTTTTGGCCTCTTGTGCCTCAGATAGGTATAAGGAAAAGAATGTGGCTTCTTTTGAAATTGTATCATTGCAAAGTGCACGTAGGCACAGGAGCCAGGTGTGGGGAAGGTAACTGTCCTAGGTCTGGGAGGAAGCTATGGGAAGGAAAAGAGAAAGTTAGGAGCATGAGATAATGGATATCTGTAGATCTGTGTAACTATTTTCTGTTTCCCATTTTGTCTCCAACTCTTTGTAATCCCCCTTTCCTCATTCCCTGGTTTGTGTAGTAGCATTTCTGTTTTCTAGCAGTATTCTTTTGCTCAGGCTGCTAGTTTAATTAGGACTTTTTTTTTTAAAAAAAGGATAAAATAGAAGTATAATATCACTATTCTTCCTCCTTTTTTTTCCCCTTTCCTTCAGCAAAACCAAAGCCCAGACTCTCCACACATTTGTGAAGATTTGCACATAAATCTCTAAAGATGAAAATCATGAATTTGTTTCTGTATAGAATATACATGTCATAGAGGAAAGTCCGTTTACTATTGTATTCTTTTGCCTGGAGGATATTACCCTTAAACATAAAACCCCAAAAAACCAAACCTACAGCCATCGAGTTGATTCCGACTCATAGTGACCCCATAGGGTTTCCAGGACTGCAAATCTCTGGAAGCAGACTGCCACGTCGTTCTCCTGCAGAACCGCAGGTGTTTTCGAACTGCTGACCTTTTGGTTAGCGGTTGATTGCTTTAACTACTGTGCCACCAGGGCTTCTTACCTTTAAATGTAAAGTGGTTACTATTTAAGTAATAAGAAATTAAAACACTGATTTGTCTGTCTAGATCACATGTGTGGTATTCTTACACTTAGTAGCATAATAAGAAATCAGTGAGTCATGCGACCTGCCCCCCTTAACACTTCACCCCTCCTTTTTTGTATCCTTCTACTAAAACAGCTTCCAAGAAAACTCCAACTGAGGTATGAAAATGCTTCACTTTAACTGAGAAATAACAGAGGATTAACAGTGATTGGCCCAGTGATCAGTTCAGAGTAGCTAATTTATTATTTTATTTTTAAAAATGAAAAGCTTTAAAAAAAAGTTAACTAACAGATACAGTCTAACAGATTATTCATCTCCTTTCAGCAGTGTACTGTAAATTGGGTCTTCTCAAAACTCACTGTAACCAAATGGATAAGGTTCTGTTTAAGGAAGCACAGGAAAGCTTTTCTGTTCCCCTTGACAACTAGTTCTTCTAGGTGAGTATCTGCCTAAATTGGCAGAATTGTAGTAATTCCTCATAATTTGGGTGAAGTGATTTTGTGAGTATTCCAAGTCCCCACATATAGTACCTATCCTAAATATGGACTATTCCACTTACAAAGTAAGAATTGTGAGGTCTTATTTACTCTACCTTTCACACAAATGATTTTCAAAGTTAGTATGAGGGGACCTAGGTTTTGGTTTCTGCTGTACTTTCAGTCCTCCATTTCCCTCTTCAGTAGGAAGCAGTCAGCTACAATATTTTTCATAAACAAAGTATTTCTAAGTACAAGTTGCCAGATTATGTTTTAAATGGCTGTGGAAGGGACACCATTACTTTATAGATCTTGACCCTCTGGAGGCACTACCCATCTTAGTTTTAGAACTTAGGTTTGGGAAGGATATAAGAGAAAGAACGCTAGTTTTTTCCCTTGTCAGAGTGTCTATTTTTTAGTCTAAGAATATATTTCTGATTTCAGTTTGACAGATCTTTCTGGATTTTAACTATTAAGACTTGCCTAAGCACTGAGAACATTTTAATTTGGATGATAATAAGAGTAAAATTTAGTAAAAAGTACAATTTAATAAATATAAATATTTATGAATAAAT